AAATCCAATGTGGAGATTGTTGGGATTTTGTCTTTGATTCTTTGTCTAACTTCATGAGAATTAGATAGGGTTAGAGTTCTATCATGATTAGGAGTTTGGGTTCTATCATGATTAGTTCTATCATGATTAGGAGTTTGGGTTCTATCATGATTAGGAGTTTGAGTTCTATCATGATTAGGAGTTTAGGTTTTATCATGATTAGGAGTATCATGATTAGGAGTTTGAGTTCTATCATGATTAGGAGTTTAGGTTTTATCATGATTAGGAGTTTGAATCATATTCTAATTAGGAAGTTAGGCTAGAAATAGAGTTTTGGTTTTCCTATATATATTCTTCTATTGGTGGAGGAAAAACCATGAAGAAAAAGTAGAGATGTATAGTAGATGAGAGAGAGAGAGAGTTTCGTAGTCTTTATCCGTGCAAAAGATTACAAGGAGTAGGCTTTGGAGAGAATATGAGAGTTGATTATGTATGTGAGGTTGAGAGATTGAGAGACGAGAGTTGAGTGGTTCCTCTTGTAGTTCTCCCTGATACATAGTGAATTTCTCGTATTGTTGCCCCGTGAACGTAGGTCGAAGTTGGTCGACCGAACCACGTAAATCTCGGTATTCTTTTTTCTTGATTATGGTTGTTCTATCTTATTGATTGGGGTTGGCTTCCGAGTTGCGCATATCGTGGTAGGCAGGAAGACTAAAATTCCCCAACAATCTAGAGGTCCTATAGGACTTGTAGTGTTTGAGAGGGATTGCGGATTCAAACTTGGTTTGTCATTCCGGTTGTAGCTCCAACTAGCCAAGGTTCCCTTGTCAACAAAAAAAAGTGAACTTTTCACTTAATGTTCCTAATGACACGAGTTTGATTCGGATGAAAATTTTCATGTTTGCATAATAATGTATTAATGCACCAATTTAAAAAAAACCTAGGGTACATAATTCTAAAAAAAATAAGTACGAGTAGACAAATGTTAAGTGAGGGAAATTATAAGGTATTTAAGTGCCATTTAGCTTCTTTTTTAAATAAAGATCCCTGGAATATAAGAAACTAGCAGTACAAATTCAGTGGAAATTTGGCATAAAATCATGTGATCTTCAAAGCTTTTCTTGCTCACCATGTTGAAAACATTTGTCCTTCGGTTCGGCCCTTGCACATCAACATGTCAGGTACATATTATTCACTTTGGTTAATCAGGCACACTTGATGCATGTTAGCTAGATAATGAACAACCAACCCATTTACGGTTTAGATACAAGGACTTGTTGTTAAACTCTCAAAATAAGATCAGGAAAAATTCTAATTTAATTTTAGGATGTATTCTATTTGGGGAAAAAATCTAGACCGAATGAAGTCTAATGGTGTGTTTGGAAAGGCTTATTTTTTTTAAGCTTATAAGTTATGCTGAATTTTAGTGGCTTTTAGTTTTTATGATAAAAATGCTATGAAAATTATTTGGGCAAAATAATAATTAATTTGTTTAGTCAAACATAGCTTATTTAGGTGAGTTTTTTAAAAACCGAGATATAACAACTTTTTAAAATGAGACTTGTTACAAGCTAACTTATTTGGTAGTTTATCGAATAGGTAGAAATAAAAAGACGAGCTTAAAAGGTACTTTAACCAAAAAAAATAAGCCGCTCCAAACAAGCTCTAAGTAAAGGGAACAACAATATGTCAAAAAAACAACATAATAGTCATCAGGCCATTTTACACTGCAGTTCTAGACTTCCATCAATCTCAAGGAACAAGGTATGGTTTTCACATAATAAAATCCAAGACCAACATTTAGGATTGTGTGTTAACTTACTCTAATGTCATTTAGTGAAAATCTCTGTCAACTCATTTGCATGTGCTGCCAACAAAGCAAAATATTTGTAAAGCTGTACTGTAATCCAGCTTAACCTCAACCGAAGCCTAGAAATTCTATATGTGACACTAAACTATCACATGTAGCCTCAATAAGATTTTTCTTCTTCTTCTTCTTCTTTTTTTTTTCCTCTTTTTTAAACTTAAAACCCATATCTTGTTGGTTAACATAAATTCAATTCTTAATACTATAAGCCAACAATTTATCATGCAACAATAAAGTGTCACATTAGGTTATGAATAGGGATAGCCACAGCCTGGAGTTCACTAGCTTTCATCTCAAAGGGACCACATCATAATGACTCTATTTAAATTTCTGACCGTATTCTGTTCTCAACCAATCTTTTGCACCTACCAAAAAAAAAGCCTGAAAAAATAAGGTCTAAGCAAACATATAGTTATTATTATCATAGGTTAGCTACCTAGAAAGAACCAGTTCTCAATTCATAGAATCATTTAATTGCGGTTAAGTTAATAATTAGTGGAGTGCTTATGGAAGGACTCATTGATACTGTTTCTCCAAAGAATCATGAGCATGTGGATAAAAGTGAGAGGGAGCAACTTATCATGCTTTGCAGTCTTTTGATAGCAGTCTGTAGATCAAAGCTGCTCTCATTGTTCTAGATCCACTTTACTTTAATTTTGCTTTTGTTTATTACAGTTTTTAGGGGAATTTTTTTGACCAGATGAATTTTTGTGCAGGTCTATCCCTCTGAAAATTTTTGCTCAATTACTTGCAAAGGGGTTAGGAACTGAGGGTCATTTTGGAAACTCCGCTTAAGTTGGTTTCTACCTGAATCAGTTTAGTCCTGGATCACCTCCTTCGAATCCAGAACTGAACTTGTTTAGAGCATCTCCAACAGTTTCCCCAAAACTTTCTCCAAAATGGGAAGTAAAAGTCATATTTTTCAAATTATTTTTGCTCCAACTCCAACAGTTTTCCCATTTTAAATAATCCTATATTTATTACAATAATAAAAATATTCTACATCTTTGACATGAACTTTAATAATAAAGATTTAGACATGAATTTTTTGTTTTTTGCCCCCTCATCTTATAGTGTTGAGTCATTTTTGAGTAGTTGGAGACTTGAAGAACGTAAAACATTTATGACATAGCTCTCCCAAAATTTAAAGAATGATGCATATTTGGGGAAGGCTCCTCTTTTTTCTCCTCCATCCCTATTTTAAGGAATGAGATGAGAAATCTGTTGGACCAAAAAGAAAACCTAAAATTCTCTAAAAATAAGAATACCAATAAAATAGGGAAGCGGTTGGAGATGTTCTTAGAGGCTAAATTTTTAACAAAGAGAAACAGCTTTAGCTCTGGACTAGTTTTTTACCAAACAGAATTTTATCCCTTAATCAGATTAGTTAAGAGAGTTGCCAAACGTGCCGCGCAAAGTCAAAATAGGGAGCAAGAAACAAATTTATCCTTTTCTTTAGCCCCCTTTAGTTTCTTTTTATAAAGAGAAACCTAATTATTGTGACCCTCTATGGAAGGACACACTTGAACGGCAACAAGGTGACAAGTTTATTGATGACAGGGCTGGAGAGCTTTTACTCTTTATCAACTGTCCCCTGTAAAAATTGCTTTCAAGACAATGACTGCCTTGTATTAATTACCAGAACTTAATTCTGAAGGAGATTTTGAAAATTAGCCCTTCAGATTTGTTAATTTAAACTTTTTCTTCCAAACTTCCATATCTCTGTTAATTTAGCCCCTCGAGGATTCCTCGATGGATACCGTTAGTTCTCAATATAACTATCATCATTCTTACATTTGCTTATTAAATGCCAAAATCATAGATAAGTAAATAGATCTACCATCTTTTGAAATCTCTTTTCTCATCCGAAATCGTAGCATAACATGCACCCTTCGGGAAGGGCGGAAAAAGGGAGGAGATTCGCGAACGAAGAAAAGGATCTAATTAATTCGAAGAATTGCAAGGTTAAACTGTATGGATAAGACCTGAATAATTCATGATATCAATAATACATATCAAGCAATATGGATGTTCTATTACACAGTCAGACCTCCCTTTTTTTTCTATCTGATACCTGCCTGTTAAAGAGGCTGTCTGAAATTACACATATAGACATAATTTCCTTCATTAGAAGTGAACCACTTGTTTCAATATAATAATAAAAAAAGAAATCAAAGACTGACTAAATTTGGGTTTATGTACTAAAATATGTTCGGTAAACTAGCTACTTTGTCATGTAGGGAGAATTTCAAACAAGCCCATCTGCTTGATCTTGTATCAGTTAAAAAAGTATTTGTCAAATTACTGTGATGCAAGCCAACTTGATTCTCAAACAAAGCATTAGAAACTGAATCAAGGGGATTAGGATATCATATGAGCATCTTTACTTTGTTAATTAAAAGAAAGGGAGGAAAAGATGCCAGCATTCAATTGTCAGTTACCTTGCTAAAGCAAAATAGGAATATTATTGAGAAACAAACTACATCTCTTATGTTTTTATGGTAAAAGTACACTTACCACCAATGAACTTTCAAAATCACACTAAACCTCGTGTGACTTTTCTGTTTGTTTCTATATTTTGTAGATAACCCCTATAAATTAGAACTAGAAAACAACATAAAAAGGCATTTTGAATGTTATTGAGGGCTTAGTGTAATTTACCGAAAAGATGTTGGGGGTTTTCTGCAAAAGCTATTGGGGGTTTAGTATGATTTTGAAAGTGCATAGGAATTTACTGCAGAAAGCTGAAAGGTCATTGTGGTTTAGTGTAATTCACCCTATGTCTTTATAATGCACAATTGATAACGTTAGTCCATAATTTATATGTAAGAACCATAATAATCACATGTGAGCTATGGGCAATAATGTGAGAGAGTGTGGCTCCTTGATTGTTCAATCCTTTCTTTTCTCCTAAATTTCAGTTGATTAAACAACTGATCAAATCCTTCAGTAATTAAACATCTACACTTGCAAGTAAATAGACACTTTCTGTTTTCCTCAATGTAACTGAATCTTTAGAATTTCATGACTTGCTGGAAATGAAGTCAATAAAATGGAATAGTTTCTAGGATTAGGAATTCCAGCCTTTGTTTGTCTGCACAAGAAACTAACAGAAAATTCTAGGTGGCAAAAGAGAAAAGAAAAACAGTGCACGGAAAAAAGAAAAATAAAATGGAGGGGCTAAAGAAGATTACACTCGTGTGTCATATGACATCTTCTTCCTCTGTGAACCAACATATTTGGTGAAGTAAACCACCAAGGGGCAGAGAAAAGTTTAGCACCTAAGCGAAACATGTACTCATTGCAATTCTCCATAGGGCTGCAAAGTGCAAATAACCTGATAAAACTGAAGCCAGCAAAAACACAACACTTCCATGAGTAGAAAGGTTACTCAAACACCCTTTTCTCCCAAAAACTCGAAATCATGGACCAATGATCACATCAAAATACTTCATTTTGCTAATACTTTAACCTACACCTTTTCCTTCTGCTTATCAAGCCAACATCTCCACTTCACCCATTCCCCTAATCTCTCTTCAACATTTGTCAACTCTTTAAAATAAAAACCGAAAAGAAGAAAAAATCAAAGGAGAAAAATAGAATCAACCTGAACTCAACTCGTCCTGATCAGGGCACCTGATCAACTCCAAGATCTTCACAACCTCATCCATCTCAGGTCGACTCGATGGCACCTGCGACGTACAAATCAACCCTAACTTCACCACCGGCACAACCTCCTCAACCGAAAACCTCCTTTCTAGTCTCTCATCAACACAATCCTCGGCTCTCCCTCCCTCAACAAATCCCCTCACGACATCACACAAAACGACCACATCATCTTCCATATACTCCACCGGCCTTCTTCCCGTTACTATTTCTAGCACAAGAACTCCAAATCCATAAACGTCGCATTTTTCCGTAATTTTCACAGTTTGGCATGAAAATTCCGGCGCCATGTAACCTAATGCACTCTGAATCTTGCTACTCAACACATATCGGTCTAGCATTGGCAATAGCCTCGCAAGTCCATAATCCCCGACTTTTGGCTCACCAGAACCGTCGATTATAACATTGCTTGACTTTAGATTGTAGTGAATTATATTATGGCAATGTAAGTGAGCGAGGCTCTTGGCAATGCCGAGAATTATATCAAATCGTTCACCCCAAGAAAGGGTATCATCAACAGAGCTCTCGTGGAGAGCTTTGTGCAAGGTCTCACCAGAGACAAACTCGTAGATTAGAAGCTGCAATGATTGAGTCCAGTAGTATCCTTGGAGGTGCACGAGATTTTGGTGTCGGATTCTGCCAAGCTTCTTGATTTCATTCTTGAATTCTTCTCGAGATTTTACTAAACTCGATACAGCAAGCTTCTTGATAGCCACGGGACGGCCATCTCCAAGAACTGTCTTGTAAACTATGCCAAAACCACCACGCCCAAGCTCAGACTCCTTGTTGAGTATAGCATGAGCTCCGGAGGGAAAATCGGGGTTTTCGCCAGAGAACATGACAAGCTTGCCAGAGTTAGTGGCCGCTGCAGAAGTTGTTGGAGATCCACTGGAGAAATCATTGTAGAGAGTCAATGCAACTTGAGAAGGTGAACTAGAGTAAGAGCGAGCATGGAGATTTAGGATGGTGATGGTGACGACGCCAAGGGCAATGAGAGCAGCAGCGCCAATGGCGATGATTGCCGAGATGCTTAGGATGACTTTTTTGTGATGGAAGTTAGGGGAAGTTAGGGATGGGCTTGGATGGACATTCAGGGAGGTTGAGTTAGGGTTTAGGACAAGAGGTTTAGGGACGGATGCACATGAGCGGTTGACAATTGAGCCACAGAGGCCGGGGTTGTTTGAGAGGGAGGAGGTGGGGATGGTGTCGAAGAAGTTTCCAGAAGGGATAGGGCCAAAGAAGAGATTGTAGGAGATGTTGAAGGAGAGGAGATGAGGGAGGTTGGAGAGTTTATTTGGGAGGGAACCTTTGAGGTTGTTGAAGGAGAGGTCTATATTTTGAAGGTCGACGAGGTTGGTTATGGAGAGGGGGATAGGGCCTGTGAGATTGTTGTGTGACAGTATCCTGTTTGAACAGTTAAAACATAAGAGATCAAGATGTGAGACAAAATTTATACAAAACAAGAATTCAAGAAATCAAGATGGAAGTTAAAATTTATACAAAACAACAATTCAAGAAAACCACTACGTAAAATAATGCTGTCAAGAATCATGAAAGATGGCAATTACCATTCCTGAAGATATAACGAAAATCTCTTGACAAAAATATCACACCATTTGCAAACTCAAACTAGTATAGGTATCATTTGTGCGTGAGGGAGAGGAGATTAAAGGAACCCATGTTAAGAGAGGCAAAGATGAATAATGAAAGAATCTAGTATGGAATCTATTGTTGTATGCAGTGTAGCTTAAACATATAAAATCTTAATTATCTTTTACCATATGATGTTATTTATTTTATATGTACATGTGCAATCTGACATGCATCATAGGGATGACTTCATGCTGGTATTGAACAAGATGTGAGCAACTCATACACGAGAGATTATGCAAAAGGATCCATTGCTTCCGAAGAGTATCCCACAATTTTTTATACCAAAAGATATTGAATAAATTGAGTTTCTTAATGTTAAATAAACCTTAACATGACATAGCTTTAAGGTCTTTTTTCATAATTCATCCCTGAGACTGCTTAGAGTTCATGTAATATCTTTGTTCCACCAAATAGTAGATGCTTATCCTTACCCAAAAGTATAATGATACTAATAATAATGTAGATAATAGTAACAACAGCGACAAACCAAACATAAACAGATTGTTTATTTACAAATGTGAATCCAAGGTTTCTCATATAAAGATGTCAAATCAACACAACCCTTAGGCTTCAACTAGAAAGCTACATCTCAAGTGCTACGATAATGGAAACACTCGAGGCAAATTTTATAGGCCGCATTTCAATCAATTTATGACCAAAAAAACTTCGATTTTCATCAATTTGAAAGCTAAAACTTTATCATAAATTCAGAATCACCATGACAGATGGACTTTATCCAGCTACATAATCCACATAAATGATAAATTTGAAGTATTTGGGAGTGAAAGTGAACTTACAAAGAAGTGAGAGAAGAGCAGTTCCCAATCTGGCTTGGGATTTCCCCACTGAGAAAGTTCTTCTCCAGCCTCAACTCCTTCAATGAAACAGCTCCTGCAATCTCAGATAAAATGCTCCCATTCAATCTATTAGCACCCAAATCCACCACTTCCACTGACTTCAACTCCCCCAAACTCATCGGAATCGGACCCGAAAACGAATTCCCTGACAAATTCAGCAGCCTCAATACCCGTAGTTTTCCAATGTCCATTGGAATCTCGCCAAAAAATTGATTCCCAGATAAATCCAGTTCCAAAAGTGACCGATTCTCAAATGTAGAAAACCGAATGTTGCCTCTCAGTTTATTCCCTGAGATCAAAATCTTCTGCAGACCCAGTTCAGAAACCCATGAAGGAAGAGCACCCATCAAAAAATTCCTACTAAAATCCACCTCTAACAGATTGCTGCAGTTCCTCATTGACTCGGGCAAGCTCCCCACAAGCCAATTTCCAGAAAAATTCAATCTTTGTAAGAGTTTCAGGTTCCCAATCGAATCCGGAACCGACCCATTAAGCCTATTTTCAGACATATCCAAAAGCCTCAACAATTTCATCTCTCCAATCGAATCTGATACTTCCCCACTGAACAAATTCGACCCCAAATTCAAAGTCCTCAAACTCCGAACCTCCCACATTGATTCAGGAACCTCCCCGCTCATCGAATTACTCGAGAGGTCAAGGCTCTTAAGCCTCTTCAAGCCCGAAATCTCATCAGGGATCGACCCCGAGAGCCGATTCGAAGAGAGGTTCAAGCTCACAAGGCTCTCACAGGAGAAACGAGTTTCCCGCCAAGGAAACGTCGATCAAGCCGCCACATTGTGAGAAAAACGAGATGGGTATCCCTCCACTGAGCCCATTGCGGCTGAAATCGATGCGGGTGAGATTTGGGAGCTGGGCTAGGCTCGGGTTCAGAGGCCCAGTGAGGTTGTTGTCGGAGAGGGAGAGGGTTTGGAGGCACCGGACGTTGAGGAGGCCGCGGCCGAGCTCGCCGGAGAGGTTGAGGGAGGAGAGGTTGAGGGAGGTGAACGCGGCTGGATTCGGGGTCGCATTGGTAGTGGCGCCCAGTTTGCCGGGTCGTCGGAGTCGCTGGGACCACGAGGAGAGGGACGAGGTGGGGTCCACGAGGGAGGACTTGAAGACGAGGAGGCCGAGTTGGTCGGGGTTGAGGGGCTGAGAGAGACAAAGGAGAGGGGGGAGGAGGAGGAGGGAGAGGAGAGAGAAGGAGTTCATGATCTAGAGAGAGAAAGGGGATATGGGTTTTTGCTTGGAGGAGGGCTGAGGGGGTTGGGCCATTAGAGGAAGAAGAGAACTGGGCTCATTTATGCTTCAGCTCTCTCAGAGAGAGAGAGAGAGAGAGAGAGAGAGAGAGGGCGCTCGTCAAGGGACAAGAACGAGGGGGCTTCAATTTAAGAGAGATTTCTAATTGACTGGGGCTTTTTCGGTCTACAAACCCAAAATCACTTCCATACTATGCCCACAGAACTTTTGGGGTGTTCCATGTAAACCCCCTTGTGAACTTTGTTTTTCTCAAGTCAAGTAGTCTCTGTGAACTTTTGCGTGTCTCACAAAATATCCATGAAACTTAACCTTTTTACATCGGAACCCTGCAAATGTAATTTGCAAAAAAACTAATATCATTGAAAGAGAGAAATCTTAAATTTTGTCACTAGTCATGTGTGAGTGCGACCAACACTCTTCCCTAATCTTTTGGCTGATGGAATTCTTTTTATTTGCAGATTATATGCAAGGGTCACGTGAGTGAGATGAGTTCAAAGTTTGTTAAGGGCTTGTAAGGCGCCTTAAAGTTCGGGAGGGTTATGTGAAATGAAGTGGGGATATGTGAAATACGCCCCAAAGTTGAGGCTGTTTTTGTGAAATTGATCTTATTTTTTAGGGGAAAATGTGTTGGGGCCCCAAAAGCAGAAACTTCATGTGCTGCAGCCCCTCCTAGTTTTCCCCATGTGGTTCAGCCCCTAGAAGTGTGACATTTTGTGATGCAGCCCCTTTTTAGCAATTATTACATGCCAGCTAAGCTAAAATCCCCAAAATATCCTTATATCCTCTCCTCAATCCCTCGGACTCGGTACTTATATCCTCTCTCTCTCTCATCTCCTCTCTCTCTCTCTCTCTCTCTCTCTCTCTCTCTCTCTCTCTCCCCCTCTCTCTCTAAAACCAAGGGTTTTCTCAAACTCGCCGCCCTGGTCCTTGCCCTCCTTGCCGTCGCCGCCTCCGCCCAGGCCCCCAAGGCTCCCCTCTAGTTCGCCGGTAACTCGCTGCCGCTCCCCGCCTCGCCCTTAACTACACCAGAGTTCGTCGCTGCCGCATTACTGGCCAAAGTCACAAGAGAAGAAGCATTACTGGCCAAAGTCCTATCTCTTTTGACTGAAACCAGAGTCCAATTGATTTGGCTGCAACGTTCTGCAGGAAAAACAAGAGACCAAAGAATGATAAAATGAACAACTGTAAGAGTTACCAATAACAAAATAGACCTTCAGAGAGTAAGAATTACTCACCCATTTACTGGGAGATGCTACAGAGCTCCTACAGGATTGGACAAGCTCATTGCATCTATAAAACTCTCTGCTTGTTCCATATTAGAAGATTTCTTCCTCAGGGGGTTCAATAAATCTCCAGTTTCCATGTTCTCTTAATACAATTTTGCTACATTGTGCAAGGATTGCTCTCAAATTTTGCTTAAGTCTCATTCAGTTGTACCTGAGAGTAAATTAAGAGCAGTGTACAAGAAATACTCGAGTATTGAATTTGGAAATGTGGCATTGAATCAACCAGCACTGAAGAATATGTTAGAGGAGTTGAAGGCTTCTTCAGCTTCGTTTTGAATGGTTAACTATTTTTTTATGGAGGAAGAGAAAGTCAACTATTGAAGATAAGGGAGATTATTGCGTTTGTTTGTTTTTGTGCTCATACCCTTGTCTAAGGAGTAAAAGAACCTCTGTAATTGAATCAAACAGTTGTAGTTTTTGATAACTATTAGAACCTCTGTAATTATTCATATGATCTGTATTTTGGTTATAACTTTCTCATCCGACCTCGGAATGAGGTGATTTGAGATGCGTTGGAAAGCTGTTGAAGAGACCTACAACTTTGGTCTTTTGAGTTTTTCAGATTCGAAATACATCTGTGTGTAAAATAATTTTTAGTTCTGTAAGCTCCCATGTTAGTTCTGTGAGCTATGATGTTAGTTCTGTGAGCTCTCATGATGTTATTTTTGCTGTAATTTCTCCGTCCAATCTCGGAATGATGTGATTTGAGATGCGTTGGAAAGCTGCTGAAGAGACCTACAACTTTAGTCTTTTGAGTTTTTTTAGATTCAGGCACATATATATATTAAATTGATCTCAAATCAATTCCTAGCATACTCAAACATCGATAAATGTTATTTATAACCATATCACATAGTTATTATCATTTATCATGATATATTCAAATTTACCTCACATATTTATTATCATTTATCATGATATATTCAAATTTACCTCACATATTTATGATCATTTATCATGATATATTCAAATTACGGATTCAAATTATTCATATGATCTGTATTTTGGTTATAACATTCTCATCCGATCTCAGAATGAGGTGATTTGAGATGCGTTGAAAAGCTGTTGAAGAGACCTACAACTTTGGTCTTTTGAGTTTTTTCAGATTCGAACTACATCTGTATGTAAAATAATTTTTAGTTCTGTGAGCTCCCATGTTAGTTCTGTGGAGTTATGATGTTAGTTCTGTGAGCTCCCACGTTAGTTCTGTGAGCTCCTATGATGTTTTTTTACTATAATTTCTCCGTTTGATCTCGGAATGAGGTAATTTGAGATGTGTTAGAAAGCTGTTGAAGAGACCTACAACTTTGGTCTTTTGAGTTTTTCCAGATTCAGGCAAGAAAGCTGTTGAAAATACCTACAACTTTGGTCTTTTGAGTTTTTCCATATTCAGGTATATATATATATTAAATTGATCTCAAACCAATTCCTAGCATACTCAAACATCAATAAATGTTATTTATAATCATATCACATAGTTATTATCATTTATTATAATATATTTAAATTTACCTCATATATTTATTATCATTTATCATGATATATTCAAATTTACCTCACATATTTATGATCATTTATCTTGATATATTCAAATTACGGATTCAAATTATTCATATGATCTGTATTTTGGTTATAACTTTCTCATCTGAATATATTCAAATTACGGATTCAAATTATTCATATGATCTGTATTTTGGTTATAACTTTCTCATCTGATCTCGGAATGAGGTGATTTGAGATGCATTATTCATATGATCTGTATTTTGGTTATAACTTTCTCATCTGATCTCGGAATGAGGTGATTTGAGATGCATTGAAAAGCTGTCTGGTATTTTGAGTTTTTTAGATTCGAACTACATTTGTGTGTAAAATGATTTTTAGTTTTGTGAGCTCCCATGTTAGTTCTGTGAGCTATGATGTTAGTTCTGTGAGCTCCCATGTTAGTTCTGTGAGCTCCCATGATGTTATTTTTGCTGTAATTTCTCTGTCCGATCTCGAAATGAGGTGATGTGAGATGCGTTGGAAAGATGTTGAAGAGCGTACAACTTTGGTCTTTTGAGTTTTTTCAGATTCAAGTACATATATATATTAAATTGATCTCAAACCAATTCTTAGCATACTCAAACATCGATAAATGTTATTTATAACCATATCACATAGTTATTATCATTTATCATGATATATTCAAATTTACCTCACATATTTATTATCATTTATCATGATATATTCAAATTACGGATTCAAATTATTCATATGATCTGTATTTTGGTTATAACTTTCTCATCCGATCTCGGAATGAGGTCATTTGAGATGCGTTGAAAAGCTGTTGAAGAGACCTACAACTTTAGTCTTTTGAGTTTTTTCAATTCAAACTATATCTGTGTGTAAAATAATTTTAGTTCTTTGAGCTATGATGTTAGTTCTGTAACCTCTGATGTTAGTTCTGTGACCTCTGATGTTAGTTCTGATATTTTTTTAGGTATGTTTATAATGTTGTTTTCGCTATAGTTCTAACACATGGCGTGTTAGTTCTAGCCCACGGCGTGTTAGTTCTAACACACCGCGTGTTAGTTCTAGATTTAACGCCTTCTCGTTCACTTCCACATCCTTGATCGCTTCAGAAATTCTCATATTTTTTATACATTAATAGCCAATGCGTACAAAAACCAGAATTTCACGAAAATGAGCGCGGATTCAATTAAAAGATGAAGATTTAGGTCCCCCTTTGGCGTGTTAGTTCTAACAGTATTATAGTCCAGGGACTGGGGAACTTGTAGAACTACATATTTGATTTGATAAAAATCTTTAACATATTTGTTTTCTCTAGAGATGCTGAAGATCATATTTCTTGGCTTCTTCAACATGGTTGGCATGAGAAGGCTTTAGCTATAATTGAAGCAGGAAAGGGACGGACTGAGCTTCTTGATGAGGTAGATAAATTGCAATGGATGTTTTTTTTCTTCCAAATTATTTAAGAGAATGGAATCGATGAGATCAAGGTGGCCGAATTCAAAGTGGAGCCTTGGAGGCTGAAGTTAAGGCTGAACTCAAGGGTGGGGGGAAGGCTGAACTCGGGCGAGGCGGGGAGCGGCGGCGAGCTACGGCGACGAGGTTGGGCGGAGGAGAGAAGGGGAGGCGGCGGTGAACTCGAGGGGAGGCTTGGGGGCCTGTGCGGAGGCGGCGACGTCGAGGAGGGCTAGGGCTAGGGCGACGAGCTTGAGAAAGCCCTTGGTTTTAGAGAGAGATAGGAGAGAGAGAGAGGAGATGAGAGAGAGGGGATATGAGTACTGGGTCTGAGGGATTGAGAAGAGGGGATAAGTATATTTTGGGGATTTTAGCTTAGCTGGCATGTAATAATTGCTAAAAAGGGGCTGCAACACAAAATGTCACACTTCAAGGGGCTGAACCACATGGGAAAAACTAGGAGGGGTTGCAGCACATGAAGTTTCTGCTTTTGGGGCTCAAACACATTTTCCCCTATTTTTAACCTAGTTCTTGTATTTTCGGCACTTAATTAAGTAATACAACAACTCACAACAAATTATGTATGCAACAATTCACTATAAAATATAGTAAATTGTGACAAGATAGCGGCTTATAACAAATATAATACTTTACCTTATGTTTAAAATTTACGACATATCAAATTAAAAAATAGAAAATAGATTTTAAAATAAGGGGAAAATGTTTCTAGCCGTTAAAATAAAAAAGTAGATATGCCCCACCTCCAAACCTAAGTCAACATGCCAAAAAATCCCCCAAAATCCATATTTCTATGCTCCTAGCCCCTAAAATTTTGTGTCATGTCACCAATAATTTAGA